GCGGGGCCGCGGCGACAGGCGGGGGGGAGGTGTGGGCAAGAGGCGGGCTCACACGCTCTGAGGAGGTCTTTCTTGTCCAGAGGGTCACTCCGGGGGGAGCCTCCCACCTCGGCCATGCACCCACCTGCGTACACCTCCTCCTGCGTGGACTCGCAGCCGAAGACATGGTCATAGCTCTTCACCACCGGCTCCAGGCGGGAGGGCTCGGTGAGGACCAGGGTTCGTGGCCCCACGAGGGAGAGGGCGGGGGCGCCGCCCTCCCGCTGCTCGCGGCGGTTGGGGGGCCGGACTCGGACCATCACCCGCACGCCCTCCCCCCCGCTGGCAACCTCCTCCCCGCTGGCGTCGTCCACGCAGCTGCTGACGCTGGGCGCGGGGGAGGCCAGGAGGGAGGGCGAGGGCATGCTGTCGGCCGAGGGCAGGCTGCGCCGCGCCATCCTCAGGCGCTCGGGGCGCCCCGTGCTCAGCTTGGAGGTGGATGAGCGGAGAGTGTTGCCGGAGTAGGCCGGGCCTCCACGCAGGGGTGGGGTGCCCTGTGCCGGGGGGGAGGATTCATGGTGTGAGTGGGTGCCCGGCGCGCTCCTTCCTCGGGAATGCTCGACCTGGTGGGCAAGCCGGCCTGCACACCCTCGTACCCGGTCGTTTGCACTGTGGGAAAAGAATAAAAATGGGGGACTGGGGGATGTGGCATCCTGGCAGGTGTCCGCGCTGCCTGGTGTGGCCATGTCGAGCTCGGCCCGAGGGGGGCGGGCTGGAAGTGTCGGTCACAGATCGGAGGGCCCTCGTGCGCTCGTCATGCAGGGAGGGGGTGGGTTTGTATACCGGTCGGCATGTTCTGAAGTTTGGTGGCGCCCAGCGTCCAGATTCGGCCCGTGTGCCCGTGGATCTGGCAAGGCGGGGACAGGTGGTTATATTGAAACCGGCGTGCTGCGCATGCCGTGATGGGTCCGAACTCCGCGAAACTATCTCCAAACTCTCGCTCGCCACACTGTGCTGTCGCCAACGAATACCAAGGATCTCAAGGATAACAATAAAGGGGTCTTCAATACGGCAACGCAGATTTTGTTCCATTTCATTTTCCTCTGCTCCTTCTGGCACCCACGAGGGGCAGTTGGATACTCTGGCCAGGCTGACGATTGGAATCTCCCCTGGGGTTCAGCTTACATGATACCAAAACTTACATACCCTACAGATCTGGTGTCCCGCACGGGCCGCGCCCGTCGGGCGCGGCTGCAGCACTTCAATACACGGAGAGAGCATCGTTCTACTTTGAGGCAGCGTGCGCCTGGGCACGGCCCGCCCTCCCAGGGTCTTCCTGTCGTTGTACTTCAGGGACTGCATTGTCCATTCTTCACTCCACCGCGGTGGAGGGTTGGGCCCCGGCCCTCCCGCTGTCCTCAGGCCATGGGCTTGGGGCTGGAGGGGGAGGTGTTGAAGTCGCGCTTCTCGAAGGGCACGCCCAGCTCCAGCAGCTTGCTGAAGGCCTGGCGGGGATGATGGGGTGGCAGGGTGTGTGTGAGGTGGCGACGGTGGGTGCGGTGCGGCTGCAGGTGTGGCCACGGTGCCGCAGTCCCTGCATGCCCCTGCACTGGGGCAGAGGGGGGCCCACGCTCCCCTGCCAAGCCCCCGTCACTTCGGGCCTCATGCCTCACCCTCCCCGCACAACCACGAGAACCCACCGCGGCAAAGTCCTCGAAGAACTTGTCCTGGTCCTTGGCGTACAGGTCCACGTACTGCCTGAACTTCTTGTCCCAGACCATCCACATGTCGGTGGGCAGCATCATGAGCTCCCCCGTCTTGTCCTCGTACTGGATGGGTCCGTTCCACTTCTTCTTGTGCCACTTGCCCTTCAGCTCGGTGAAGTAGCCGTTAGAGAAGGTGGTGGGGGAGAAGGTCCAAGGCCCCACGAACCCGGAGCGGTCGGCGTGGCAGCGCCCGATGGCGTGCGCGCCCATCAGCGCCACGATCTCCTGGTCGTTGAAGCCCATGCGGTAGAAGACGTCGCGCACGTGCTTGTTGTCGCGCGACGCGTCGGGCAGGCGCCCGTCCGGCAGCGGCACGCACCCATTCTCCTCCTTGTCGGAGCGCCCCGGGCGCCACTTGATCTGGGGCCCGCCCATGGCCTCGATGGCCACCACGCCGGCCAGGGTCCAGAGGTCGGAGTAGGAGATCCAGGGGAACTTCTTCTTGATGGGCTCCAGGATGTCGCGCGCGTCGCCCAGCCCCGCGTTGGCCCCCCAGCCGGACTCAGGGCCGAAGCGCATGGTGGCGCCGTTGGAGCCGCCCGTGTTGTCGTTCTTGTCGTAGGTGCCGCTGGTGTGCCAGGCCAGGCGCACCAGCACGGGGCCGTAGCTGCCGTCGTCGTACTCATCGTTGGACTCCAGCACGTCCTCGATGGCGGCGCGCACCGCCTGGTAGTCGGGCTTGAAGTCCTGTGGGAGGGGGAAGGGGGGGTACTTGAATGGTTGAGCAATGGGGGTTGGGGGGAGGGGAGGCGGTTGAGGGAGGGAGGGGGGGGAGGAGGAGGGGGGCCAGGAGAGGGAGACGAGGGCGACGGGGCCTTGAGAAGGGAAACTGCAAGCTCAGGCGCTGCAGACCTCAAGGGACAGACAGAACAGGTGTTTATCCATTGAGGCATGAAGCAAGGCGGTTGAGGTTTGCTGGCAGGGCGAGGAAGCACAATTCACCCCTTATCCCAAGGTGCTGAGCTGGACAAAAGGCTGAGGTAATCAAGAGACATGCACCGGGCTTCGGACATGGAGCACCGGACTGCCACCGGGAATGCACCGGGCGAAAACAACTTCAGAAGCACGTACCTTGGAGGGGGTCGCCGGGATGGCGGACGAACCCAGCAGGCCATCCAGCAAACCGCTCTGCTTGGCGTAGTAACCACCGCCTCCCAGGCCAGCCAGGCCCAGGATCAGGGGCAGGCTCTGCGATTAGGGGCGAGGATTGTGGTAATTATATTAATTCGATATTAGAGCCTGGTACACGATGGTGAAGGAGTCAGGTCGTGGTGGGGCTGGAGCCCTGCTGATCACACACTACTCACACTCTTGCCGGTCTTCCCAGCCTCGGTGGCGTAGCCACGGACCGCCAGGGACCGCAGCTGCTTCAGCTGGCGGCCGCGAGAAGCCAGAGCCCTCAGCATCGTGTCACGTGTTGGGTGTCCGGCGGGTGGACGGTTCGTGAAGGAGGGCTGGGTGAGGGCACGTGCACCTGGGATCACAGAACCCTACGGGCAGGAAGTGAGATGAGGTGTCGATGTAATTTCTGCCTCTGGTAAATTATGTCTGGAGTGATGCAGGGGCACATCGTCAGGGCTCGGCATTTCGCTCTGCTCTCGAGGTTCGCTGACGCGACAGGGAAAAAGAAAGAATCTCTGGGAGCTCAGGCCAAAGCTACGAGTGAATGAACAGTGCCCTGATCAACACCAGGAATGTCCCCACATACAAAATTATCTGAGATAGCTCAAATAAATTTAGCTCTTCAGCTGCGAAACTTTCAGTTGTGATCTTCACGACGAGCAGGAGGCGCTATGGGGAAAAATCAGCAGCACAAGGCTGCCCAGATGTCCCGTCATACGTCGCGGGATGGCGATCCTGCGGACACAACCAACACGGGAGATGGAGTTGATGTGTCATTCCACAGCGCCGCGTGGCACGAAGCCCGACTAGCAGCACTACAAGTAGAACGGCCTAGGTAAGTTGACGTGTGTACACACTGTTATAAAGGCGGTGCGACTCCCGACGTTGACTCCAGATTCCCTTACCCAACATATAGCTATGAGGAGTGGAAACAGCGACAAAAGGACGCCGAGGCAAGAGAGTTGGAGGCGCAAGAAGCTCAAGATGCCCTCATGCGTGAGTGGCACTGGCGTGATACTTTGCTGGATGGGCCCCACAAGTGTATAGTGTTCCCTTCTTCACTGAGGAATGCATTGCACGTGCACAGGGGAGTATAGAGAGGGCCTGGCAGCTGACAGGGCCGCCCGGATGGGCTTGACAGCACCCGGCATTACAAAGGTAGCGCAGAGAGTGATGGGAATGGGGATCTGTTGTACTTGAGATGCCCCTTCTTCACTGGCTTGCTGACTAAATATTTACACGAATCAGCTCAGCGCGTGCTCTGCCCCTCAGCTAGGGTTCTGAATCTTCACTCTTCAAAATCCCCCACAGCACGATTCCAAACGGAAGTCGAGCAAGAAGGATAAGAAAGAAAAGTCTTCTAAGCACAAGAAAGAAAAGCACAAACACAAGGTGAGTCTGGAAGCTGTGGGCACTGGGTCTGAGGTGAATCAAAGATGCTGCTGTGGTGGCCTTGCAGTCTGTTCTCGGCGTCCAGATGGCATGCCATGCTGCACGGGAACGCTGTGTGGCTCTTCCCCACCGCGCACACAGACCCTGACAGGGCCTCCCCTCGCCACCCACTTTCGCCGCAGAAGTCCAAGTCGAAGAAGAAGCGGCGCAGGTCCTCCAGCAGCGACAGCAGCGGCAGCGACAGCCCGTCCCGCGCCGACGATGCCCCGGCGTCCGGGCCGGTGAAGCTCAGTGAGTTCTTCAGCTCATGAGCCGGGGCCACTGCTGGATGCCAACGCCCGCCTGTCCTCTGCCCCACGACTTGTAATGCCTCCAAGACCAGGCCCTCTGCTCACATGGACAGTCAGTGGGGGCCTGTCGCCCTGTTCTCGAGCAATGCATAGGGTATCACCCGTCAACTTTGAGTGGCACTCCTGGCTCGGTGCAGAGTCACCAACAACACAGGTCTACAGCCTCCCACTGCACCGCACCCGCCCACGCCGCCGCTCTCAGGCGGCCGCGCCCAGGACGGCCTCCAGAACAGCGCCCTCCAGCTCTGCGGCGTGGTCGGTGAAGTTGTGGTTGGCCCCAGGGATGTAGACTGTCCTGGCGTGGGGCAGGAGCCCGCCCAGGTACTCCGCCTCCTGCCACGGGATCGTGGTGTCCTCCCGGCCGTGGATGAGCACCAACCGGGTGCCGGCCGGCCAGCGCGTGGCGAGGGCCTCCACGTCGATGTTCACCCGCTCCTCGACATCCTGCGGGAGGGAGAGGGGGAAGGGGCGCGGCATTGTTAAGATGGCATCAATCCTGATGATCGACCATGGGCATGAAGCGGGCAGGGCTTCAGCCGGAGTGGACGCGCGCGGGCTTCACGGATTCGCCAGAGATTTGGCTCAGGGGTGTGGCATTGTGCGTTGCGGGGAGCGGCATCATTCCAGGGGCATATCGCGTCCACTCCTCCTTCGGACCCCACCCCCTCCTCCCGGCAGCCCACCTCGAGGGTGAGTACCCACTCCATGCCGTTTGCCTCCTTCCTGGGCATGGCGGGGCTGGCAACCAATTGATCCAGGATGTTGGGCCCAAAGCGCTGTAGCACTCCGTCCCGCGGCTTGAAGCGGCCGGCCAGCGAGACGACGAGCGGCGGCGGGCTGGCCACCTGGGCGCCAAACATGAACGCGTTCAGGCCGCCCTTGCTGTGGCCCAGCACGACGCAAGTGGTGTATCCGGCGCCTTTAAGGGCGTCCATGGCCGCCTGGATCTCATCAACCTAGGGAAGCGGGGGTTCACGGCGAGGGGTGGCACGCTGGGAGGCCAGGAGAGGCACGTTGAGAAGTCAATAGAGCGGGGGTCTGCGAGAATGGGGAGTCTTCAGTGCGAGGAACAATCCCATCTTGGCACTTGCCTACCCATACGAAATCCACCCACCTCCTGGGCGTGATTGCCCATTAGGAAAGACCGGCGCCGCTCGCTCGAGCCGTCCACGGCCATGGCGTGGTCGAAGCGGAAGGAGGACACCCCGGCTCTGGCGAGGGCGGCCGCCAGGCGCTGGAAGTGGCAGTGGGTCGCGTTGGACATGTACCTGTACAAGGGAGGGGGTCCAGGGTTGGTATGTGTGGAAGTCTGGCCTAGAGTGCTTTGTTTCAGCGACAGAAAAGGCCTGGCGGATGGAAGTCTGTAGGTGCTGCTGAAACCGGCCAGGAACTACCCCGGGGCACCATCAACGGCCCCTGAGGCAGACCATCTCCAGATCTCGGGCAGCTGCTCCTCACCCATGGCACAGGATCACGGTGTTATCTTTGGAACCAGCGTCCAGAAGCCAGCCCACGAGCGTCTCTCCAAACTCGTTCTTGAAGCGAATCACGGTCTCGGTGGGTTGAGGTTCCGGCGGGGTCATGGTATCAGACGCGTGGCGACGCTGAAGAGATGGGTGGGTGTATCTCTTACGAAATCTGCTCGGCGATACGATCCAAAATGTGTGACGGTTGCTAGATGCGAGCTGTCGATGGACAAACGAGGCTTGGGCGGAGTCCTGGATGCACGGTCGCAGCTGGTGCGCCACACACAAAGATGTGGGGTGGCACACTGGCATTCAGAATGAAAAATCAAGTAGTAGGGCGTGTACATCGTACGATCCCCTTCGGCTCCTGTTTCCTAGTGGGTTTGTTGACGAGGACTTGTAGTGTTATTCCTCCGGTACTCAGGGCGCGCGCCCTCGACGAACTTGAACTCTTCCGCTGAGCGATTACACTGTTTCCTCTTGCATCCTGTAAGAAATATAAGTGTACAAGTGTCCTGCATGATTACGCTGGGGCATAGTAGCCTCCGGAGGAGGGTTGCGATCGTCCTTCGGGGGTCTTACACGATCCGGGACATGCTGCTGCACGCGAAGCAAGGTATGAAGCAAACATTAAGTATCGTAAGAGACGGTCCAGCAGATTGAGAACGGGGCATGACGAGGCTCGCCCAAGATTCCGCCGCCCCCTGGCGCCCTGGCAGATGAGTAAGGTCCTTCGACAGAAATTACCAAATGATCCGGCAACCATCGTGGCCTCAATTACGAGGCAATTCAGCTGCTGTACCCGAGCATTGTATATACTGTAGTTAGTCTTTCCTTGAGTATTGTACGAAGCGGTAATGGCCGCCGCGGGCATGTTTGCAGCCGGAGCTGTCGTCCCGTCGCTGCGTGGGCGTGGCACCCTCGTCGGTCCTCTGACCACCCAGCGCGTGATCCCGCGCCCAAATGTACTATTGCATCCATTTGCACAAAGGAGAATGGGTCCCGCGCCTCCCCGTGCCAGTTCTGCGTCCGGAGCCGGCAGCCTGGGTGCTGCGGGAGCGCCCCAGCCCGAGAAGAAGACGGGCTTCCTCAGCATGTTCAGCCCCTTCACAGACCCAGAGGCCAACAAGCGCCTCATCGCGCTCTGTACAGGTGAGATCAGCTGTCCAGCCCGGTGCCCGGCCCCACCTCGAGGCAGGCTGCTCGGCATGATTCTGTTCCTGCAAGCCAACTCCCTGGGGCCTGACCAGCCTGACCGGGCCCCCCACTCCCCCCGCCCCTGCAGCCCAAATGCTCTGCTCCGTGGCCACCCTCATCCACGACACTTACCTGCCCGTGTACCTGAGCGAGGTGCTGCACCTCAGCAACTCCAAGGTGCAACACATGACGTGCAGGGAGGGTTGTGTACGTGGTCACGGTGGGTCCACGCCCGTGTCGTGCTGAGATGTGCCGCAGTGCTGAGTGGTCGCTGGACACAACATTCCGCCAGCAGCAGACTTGGAAAGAAGCCCCCTTCGCCCAGGCCC